GAAACTAAGCTGTGTTGCTTATGAACTCCATGAAGTGCTACAGAGAAAATTACATTTTATTTATGTAATTAACACATTTTGAACTCTTAAAGAAATATAACAAAAGGAAAGACACCCAGCTGAACTAAAATGATCCAGCAAACAAAAACTGCTGTGAGCCACCCTTTTATCGCCTTTGGGCTTTTGGAGCCTTGACCTGACTTTTAAAAAATAACTGGGAAAAAAGCACTATGCTGCTAAAAAAGAAAAAATAGATATTTGCAAAATTCTGCCTAAATATGTATTTTACCTGCTTAATGTGTGTGGAGGGGCGTGGTCTGCAGCGCCGCTGCAGGGAAGTCGGACGCACCTGAGCGGCACCCGCAATCACGCCTCACCACCTTAAAGTATGTGCTCTCTCTGCTGTTGTGTTGTCGGGCTGTGAGCTGAAAAGCTACAGTCGGCTGTATGCGTACAGCAACCGTGTGTGAAAAGTGGTCAGTAAAGAGATGCAGAAAAGCATGTTCATGCAAACATCGTCGGGTCTGCCGTGAAATGTTTACAATGGGACTTCTGGTCCCGAAACTCTGCGCACAGCGTCTGCAAATCGGGGCTTTCATCTTTACGCAGGACTGTAAGCTGTCATCTGTCAGGCGTGAGCGGTGTTTGTTTTAACATAGTTCATGGTGGAGCTGCTGACATAATGTGGATCCGAAGATCCATAACTGGCCTACCTGGGGTCGAAAGTCTCGATAAATGCACAGCGTTTCAGCGGGTATACTGGCTTCCGCGAGTGTGACGCTTATTTTGAGTGGTGAAAAAATAATATAATATAATTTTATTTTTATATTTCAAAATCACAATAATCTTCCAATTTAGAACTACAAGTTAAAAAAAGAACTAAACACAAATAAAATACACTTCAGCTAAATACTTCTAATTTATTTTCCCAAACCACCCGGAGCCGCAGTATAAGGACAAAAGAGCCGCAGATTGCCGACCCCTGGTCTAGCCTTTCCAAAAGAAAAAACAACAACAACACACACACACACAAAAAAAAGGGGGGATACTAAGTCTCTACCAAAAGAGCCTTTTTTAGTACGACCATTTTTGCTACCGAAAAACATCACATATTTAACACATGCCTAACCCATACTATAAAACAGCTTGCACATGCTTTTGTGATACCAAAAGGGCACACCTAACACACACCAAGCTTAGACCTACTTTAATGTTTAAGAAACACATATGTGACATGCCTAGTTGGTACTAAAACAAGCACAAATCTAAGCCATGCCTTTCGGGTACTAAAACAAGCATTTGCCTGCACAGCATAGTTTCAGTACCTGCTTCTCGTCGTGTCCTGCTGAGCCCCATTTTCCTTTCTTTTTATTCATGAAATAAAAGCAACATATAAAGAATTTAGTTCCCTCAAAGCCAACAGTCACACATGCTACAGCTGCTTTTTGGACTTCAGTATATCCTGCCACGGACATTTTAACTCAAAAGGCTGGGAATCGAACCACCGACCCTCTGACTGGAGATGAAACTGTCTTTTTTCCCCTGCAGTTTATTAGATGTGAAAACAGAGGAAAGAATCGAATCATTTCAGGTGACCAAGGCTCTCACCTTTCTCCTCGTCACTGGCAATGGCCTCCCAGTTATCCACAGCAGCTTCTGGCTTCACCTCTAAACACAGAGACAGAACAGAAACAAGTTAACTTCTGTTCAGCGCAATAAAACACCAGCCGATACCTCCACTTCACACCTGCAGCTCTTACCTGGTTCTGCAGGCGGTGCCTCAGCCTCTGTTTCCATTGCAACTGGCTCTGGAGTCTCTGAAGTCGGCGAGGTCACTTCTGATGTTTCTGGGAAGGGAAATGACAAAATTATTTTTATTATATGACCAGCAGGAGGACTGTAGCGTCTCTCGGCTGGTGCGAGCAGCAGGGCTGTACCTTCAGGAGTCTGGGTGGCGGGCTTCTTCCTCCTCTTGTCTCTATAAACAGGTTTCTTCTTTTGCACCTCTTTGTCTCTGGATGGCACATCAACACCTGCACACACACGATCATATTAGCTGTACAGCGCTGACTGTACTGGAATGACTGCATTATACTTCTGTAACCCTTCTTAGCGCCCCTTCCAGTCTGTCCTGCTCATAGCACCCACCCTGAGCCTGCAGCAACATGAGCATGGTCTCAGCACGAGCTTGAGCTTCCTTCTGGGCCTTCGTCAGCAGCTTCCCCTCCTTCTTCAGGCGCTCCTTCCTCTCCTTCGCCTTCTGCTTCTTCTTCTCCTTGCGCTCCTGCTCCAGGCGCTCCTACAAGGGCAGCAAAACCGATGCCACAGCGATTCGCGATGAGACGACAGGAAAGACAAAAGTGAAGAAGAAGAAGGAGGTGGTGGAGCTTTGTATTTTACCTTTTCCAGCCTCTCCTTCTCCAGCTCCTCCAGCCTCCTCTGTCGCTCCTCCTCCTCTTTCTTGGCTCGCTCCTCCTCCTGCAAAAACAGTTTAATCATTCTCAGATATCAAGCACCCATCCCATCATGATCTCCATGACTACGTCTCCCACAATGCCCCACCTCCTTCATCTTGGCCAGGGCCTCCTGCATGGCCTTCACTGTGGCCTTGCTAGGTCCCTTCTTCTTCTTGTCCTCATCCTTGTCTTTCTCTCCTTTCTTCTTCTTCTTGTCTTTCTTCTTTTTGTCGCCCTCCGGCTCCTCTGCAGAAGGAGAAGAAACACGTCACACTGAATGGCATCACACGATTTCATGTTTTTCCTGATAATAACTTACCCTCTGCTGCTGCCTCTGCCCCTTCCTGTTCTTCCAACACTGCTGCAGGAGGCGCATTTTGTGGAGGCGCCGACTCCGTCTTCTTCTCTGGCTCTTTCTTTGGCTCCACGCTGCCCTCCTTCTCCTTCTGCTTCTTCTGCTTCATCCTCTCCTCCTCCTTCTTTTTCCTCTCCCTCTCCTTCTTCTCTGCTTTCTTCTGTGCAGCCGTCTTGATTTTGAAGGTGCCATTGTCCTCCTGCTGCTCCTCCTCATCCTCGCTCTCGGCCTTCAAAGGCTTCCCTTTCTTCTTCTTCTTGTCTCTCCTGGAGGTGAACTCCTCATCGTCTTCGGAGTCATCCTTTCCACCAACGCTGCCTCCTTCTTCTCCTTTCCTCATACCTTTGTCCTGGTCCTCCTCCTCGTCGGACACTGAAGATGTTTTGCCTCCTTTCTTTCCTCCTTTGGCCTTCATTCGAGACTGTGAGCTGCTGTCATCGTCAGACTCTGAAGCAGGAGTAGGAGGTGGGGCCTGGAGGAGCAAAGAATAGAAATTTAGACACTTTCTAAAGAGTCTGTGCTCTTATTTCTATGATATGACGTTTATGTTCATTATTTCACCTTCTTTTCCTTTTGTTCTCCGTTCCTTTCTCCATCAACATGACCTTCAGCATCATCACCCTCCTCATCCTCGGGGCTGGCTACGCCCTTCTTTCCCTTTCTGGTCTTCTTCTTCTCCGGTTTAGGAGGCTCGAAACTCTCTACTTCTTCTGTGATGTCTGTTTTCTGCACAGAGAGAGATTCTTTGTATCAGAACAAATCTTCAATCTCTCTGACTGAAAAAGCATTTTTTAGCTGAAGTGCCCCTCGGATGCGTTTACCTTCCCCTTTCCTCCTGTGCTCTCGAGCGATAACTCCTCAAGCTCCTTCATGATGTCATCCTCACTGGAAGAGGAGGAAAGAACTGTTTTAGGAAATTTCAAAGCAGTAAGCTTGATTAAAATAAAAACTATCTGGAAGAATGTCTCACTCAAAGTCATCTTTCTTCCCTGCTTTCTTCTTCTTCTTTCCCTTTGGCTCTTTGGAAGCTCCGGCTCCTTCAATCTCCGCCGCCAGAGCATCGATGTCATCTTTGGCACTGAGCACAGATTCGAAAAACGGTCGATCAGAGCACAGGAGTGACACCCGACTAAAACCTGGTCAGACACTGAGAACACGGGCTGCGAGAGGAGACCGAGTTAGACTGTGTTTCTCTTTGTATCAGAAGAATGTGAATGTGAAGAGCTGCTGACTCCTCATTTCCTTTCATTTCCCATCAGCCCTCTGAGGCACAGCGAGCACAAAGCGACAGCAGTGCTGTAACCACGGATTGTGTTCCCTCAAGTCACTGTAAATCAAATATCATCTGGTTTCAGACTCACAAAGGAAGACATCTAATCTGCTCTGTGAAACTGAAGATGAAGTATGGCAAAAACAAACCGCTGATTTATCAATTACATCTGAGATTTTCTGGCATTTTAGATCAAACTTTCAAAGTTTAAATTTATCTACAAAGTGAGCTGGAGGCACATTTGGATTACTGAGTAGGCCTAAAAAAAAGCTGCACACACAGACTGTTAATATGTTGTGAGGGAAAACCTTAGAAGTGAGTTCATAAAGAGACAATGTGTGCAGAAAAAGATGCACAGATGCACAAAAAGATAAAACAAAAATTACAAAGCAACCAAACGTTAAATGCAAAGTTTAAAAAAAGCACCAAAAACCCTCCTCAAGAATGAAGAAAAAATGGAAAAAGTTATGACAGGAAACTAGAAAAACTAGAAAAAACTAGAAAAAAAATGAAGTATAAAAAAATAATGGTAACGTGCACAAATAACGAGTAAAGAGTCATAAACAAAGATGAAACACAAACAAATAAAACAAAACAAACAATAAACATAAAACCTGCAAAGGTGTAAGGAGAAGTTCAAAAACACAGACAGTAAAAATCAGCAGACAAGAAACTACAAATGAATTTAATATAAGTTTTTGCTAGAAGCTGCATTACTACCCCAATACGCTTTAACACAGAAAACAATAATATTAAAACCCAACATCTGGCAGGAGTTTCATGTTCCATCTGTGACGTCAGTGTTTGTATCAGGGCTCGCAAAATCGCTAGCCCGACGTCCCGGGGCTAGCGATTTTTCAAGTCGGGCTACCAAAATCTATCTCTGCCCTGCCCGTCGGGCTATCATAGGAAGGAAAAATGTACGTCAATTTTTTTTGCTTTCACTTTGCAATCGCTGAACTGTGTATAGAGAGCGACGACAGCACTGATTGGTGAGTGACGATAATTTGCGCACCAATTCCTCTG